TCTCTCTCTCTCTCTCTCTCTCTCTCTCTCTCTCTCTCTCTCCGCGCTCCCGATGCGAGCAGTCCGTCGCCTCGCATCTACACAGAGTTGTCACCCCGCTTGGTCCGAGCATGCAAGCTAGGTTCGCCCATGCGCCACAGTCCGTCGCGGCCCCACACGTCAACCCGCATACCCGACACCAGCTCGTCGGATCGCCCAACTCTCATACTCACTCACCTTCCAAACTTGCTCGTTAGCCGACCCTCAATGATTGCGCTAACCTTGAAATTCTTAGAGAGCAAACTAATCGCGCTTGCAAAATTTATAGCATGCATGCCCGCGGAAAAGGTACGGGATTAAGCCCAGATGGACAAGAAGAGAAGAGAGGAACTGCCGAGTACGTCTGAATGGCCAGGCCGTGGCGTGGGGGTCGTAACCATACTCCATGCATCGATCTGGTCATGCAGGCATTCAGGCCAATTGGAATGGAGCATGCGAGGTGAGGAAGAAGGAGAAGGTGGCCAAACACAAGGGAATCAAGAAAGAAGAAAGATACGGTTACAATCGCGCCCGCCAAAATAATAGTTACGCAGGATTAAGGGCGCGATCAGAACCCAGTTCCCAGTGCAGCAAGATGCGCGCAGGGGCGGCGCAACAAAATTCAGAGTACCTAAATTCCTATCCTAAGTCCTAATTGCAAAGGGAAATTCCGAAAAAGCAGAAAAGTAAAACAATTCCACGAACCCGCGGGGGCTCGACATCAGTTGAAAATTAAAAAACAATATTCTCGTGTGATGATCGCGCCAAAATTCCCCGTGCTGACAGCAGAACAAGAAATAAGCTAAGGCACAATTATTTTTTGCGCCCGTCATCCAACCGTCGGTACGTGATTTTCCCGACATCGATCCGACAACTTTCAATCGAAAACGAAAAGAAACGAGGGCATTCATGCAGTTAGCCCGCCCGACCCATCTTTCCACAGCCCACCCCTTCGACCCGTCGCATTCCCCTAAGTAGCTTCGCGCAGAAAGTCGCGCGATTACAGAAAATAGTTCGTCACATATATGACGCCCAGGGGGTTCCAAACTTGAGCAAGCTCCTGCTTGCTTTCTCATCAGGCGCCGATCGGTTATCCGATGATCAACGCGGAGCTGACACGTGCCACTTACCGTAGGATCAGAGTGTGGAAGTCATCCAATGGTGGCATGCGTGGGCTCAATCCAAAATACTGCCTGGAAAAGGCAATCTAATTACAGTCGGGGGAGGTGGTGGATGGGATTGGGGAAGAGGGGGCATGAAGCGATGAATTTCCCCATCACTGGAGGGGAGTGGGATGAAATGGAAGGAACGTTGGATGCGTAGAAAGCGAGGGTGTCGACGTTGATGGGGGAGAGAAGCGAGGTAGTCCGGGTAGAGGGTGCAAAGGGTGCGTCGGATGACGGTGCGGAAGTTGTCATACTCTGCGCATGCGGGATTGGGCCCGCGATGATGTAGTAAACCTCTATGTTATTATACTCCCGCCAATCCACGCTGAGGAGAAGGACGTGGAAGGGGAAGAAAGTGACGAGTGAGCGGGTAGCGGCATGCAGGAAGATAGTGACCACAAGACGGGTGACGTAGCGATGATAGAAGAGGGAGAGGGGAAAGGAATGCCATGTATCGAGGAGCGGGGGCCGACTTACGAGCTGCTGAACAGTGAGGAAGTCACGGGGACGGTGGGATAATGACCGAGGACGAAGCTTGTGCGCCCGCATCTCGAGGTAAGCGAAGGGCTGCGGGTTAAACTGGGGAGGATTGGGAGGGCGATCGACTTCTTCAGTGGCGCCAGCTTCTTGATCCCTCTGCGGTGGTGTCATTTTGTTCGTCTTCCTCCCGCCGCGGCTCTGGATTGCGCGCCGGATCATCCTGGAGCAATTGCGGTGGTGGCCCTCCTGACTCTTCAATCGGCCGCTTCCCTTCTGCTGCTGCCCATACCCTCTGTGCCACGACCTCCCTTTCTCTCCTGCTTAGTTCATCGGGGCCGCTTGATCCACCCGATCCTGCTTCCTCCTCTCCTGATTCTACCCGATCCGAACTGGCTTCTTCCGACTCGGCGTCTTCCGATTCCCAATAGTCGGGATCATCCGACTCAGCTCCCGATCCGTCCTCCTCTGGCGTCGTCTCGCCTTCCGTGTACTGGAGGTGACCGCCCTCCTCACTTTCTTCTTCTTCCTCCTCGGCCTCCTCACTAGTCTCTCCTATGGGGATGCACCGGATGAGTGGGTCCCACGTGGAGAGGTCAGTAACGTCGACGACCACTGGCAGGTACGCACCCCTCGAGGGTAGGTAGTAGCCGTTCCCCTCCAATTCCGTACACGTGGACCAAAGAGGGTGTGGCTCGAGGGTACGGGTGAGTGCGGCTGTCCCAAGTATCTCGTCACAATGAGAGAGGATCTCCAACGGCAGATGGTCGAGTACTTGGGTCAGGAACACCAACATTTCGTCCGTGATGGAGCTCGGATGGTCGTCGCACACTTCTTTAAATAGGATCCCCAAGAAGTCTCCCTCCGCGTCCGTCCTCCACCCCTGGACAAGCAATAGCTCCACCTCGTCGTCCGAGATCTCGTCTTCCGCACTTCTATCGGCAGGCTCCGCCCAATGGAAGGCAATCTCGAGGAGGCAGAAACTGAGCGCCACGTAAGCTTGCCGCCACTGCGTCCACTTAGGCGCGTCGAGAATCGGCACGTCTAAGGGCTTGATTGTGAAGGACAGGGAGGCTTCCTCGACCGATTGTCAAAACATGCGGATGTCGGAGGGGAGGTTGAAGGTAGAGAGACGAGGGCGGTTCATTGAGGCCGAAAGAAGGGACGAAGCACCGGGAGAGGGACTTCAGGTTCGGTGGAGGAGAGGCGGAGCTGGAGATCGATGTCATTTGTCACCACAACGCGATCACGAGGCTACGCCAATAGCTGAACCCACTCGGCCGTAAGGCTCGCTGCCCAGTTTCGCAGCTGTCGGAGCACGACAGTCTGCCGGGTTGGGTGCAGCGTCGTGAGGTAGCCTGAGAAGACGATGGCGACCAACACGTGGCTCTCTCCTGGGGGAGAAAGGCACAAGAAGGCTGACGCCTCGACCAACACTCGCGCTACTCCGGATTGCCCAAACTGGAACTCTGCCACCGCATGGATGGCCGCCGTACTGAAGAAGGCCATGAATCGGAGAAGATCCGGACTCAACCGAGAATGCCGCACTTGCCGGATTGCTGAGAAGGCTTCCCCAGGTACCATGAGTCGCTCACTGATCACCTGCTCCGTCAAAAAGCTCATGGCGATGGAGGCGGGGTCAAAGACGATGGTTGAGAGAGAAAGGAGGATTCTAGAGAGTCGTCATCCTCGTCTTGGTCGAGGGACGATGTAGACGAAGGAGGAGGAGGGGAAGAGGGGAGAGGAGGAAGGTAGGATACGTGTCGAATGATCGGTCGAGCCGATTGACTTCCCGCAAGCCGCACCGTGTTTACTCCACAGGGACCGAGCTCAACTACGCGAAATCGCCTGAAGAATCGTGGCTCTAACTTGCCTTGGCGAGCACATTTTCTCACCTGCACGATGTCCCCTAATTTATATTGGGGCCGAGGCCCAGTGTTCCCATTCCGGGCCTCGTAGCGTCGGACCTGTCTTTCGTGGGCCATTGCCGTCATACACTGTCTTTTTCGGGTCAGTCGGGGGAGGGCTTTTTCCATCAGTTCCAGGTGGTGCTGGGCCTTATCCTTAACCGTCGTTCTAGTGGTCCATCTGGGAAAGGCCATCTCATCATTTAGGCCCGGTAGGGATAAACAGGGCAGGTTGTTGGTCCGTAGTTGAAAGGGGGTCAAACCCGTGGACTCGTGGGGTGTCCCCCTGTGGATAGCCAAAATATGGTCTACGATATCGGGCTAGGGCCTCGTGTCATTCGCCGCGATATTGCGTCGCAGGGCGGTCTTAATCACCCGATTGGCGTTCTCTACCAGTCCGTTGGATTGTGACATGTGGGGAGCGGTGTGGCGAATGGAGACACCGTGTAGGACCAAATTCCTGAAGACTTCCCCTCTAAATTCTGCCCCATTATCCGTTAGGATCTCCTCAGTATCCTGGTGCATCCCGAGAAAACGGTTGACGTACCGCACTATTTCGGCCGCCTGTCGCGTCTTGCAAGGATAGGCCTCAATCCATTTCAAGAAATGGTCTACAAAAACCAAAAGGATTGAATACTCACAGCTATTCGGTCTGGGGGGCACGACAATATCGGTGGTATCCATGGTGACTCTTTGAAACGGTCGTTCAACCATGGTAGGGGCTATCGATCTAGGAGGCTGAATCGGTGCCTTGTCGACGGCGCAGACGGAGCAGTTCCGGACGATGAATTTAACATCGTCGCGGATATTGGACTAATACCATTCATTTTTATCGATTCCTGCCTCCATGATTCTGATAGCAAAATGGGCCGAAGTCTCCTCGTGAGCCGACTTAACCCAGTCATACCTTGCGAACGGATGTGGGACAGACATCCAAATCTCGCTTCCGTCCGTTTTCCGTTTTTCTAACCGTCCCTCATTCCATCGGTAGTCCCAAGCTCTCTCATTGGCCCGTCTCCGATCTTCCTTTGTGAAGTCTCGGAGAGGATTCCCAACTACCGTGGCTATCAAAACGACCTTTGTCTAGACCTCAACCCTTCTAAACCGTCGGGTTTTATCTAGCCCTTCCAACTTGGCTTCGAGAAATCGAGCCTCTGTCGGGATCTTATCGGTACGATACAAAGGACACAACCAGGTTTTGTCTGCATTTCGGTACTGAATACAGGAGCCATGGGCTCAAGAGACACAGCATTGACAATCTACCGATCCGACATATCCTTCCCCACTAGGACGCATAGGGACCGAATAGACTCTCGAAATTGCCTCGCAAAAATAGCAAAATTTATCAGGTAAGGAGGGAAAGGACGAGGACGAGAGAGGAGAAAGAGGAGCTTCGCGATTACCTCCGCGCCCCATCGCCATCGTGTCGATCACCCATTAGGAGCTCGAGGAAGGATGGCCACTTGTCCGTATCGTGGCCCGCTGACGGGTTCCGGTTTTCTCCACGGAGTGATCTCCTCGCCCTTAGCCACCTTTGTCGGACGGTGCAGTCGTGTCAATTCGTCCGCGTTCCCGTGCCTCTCTGTCTTCCGGTGGATGATATCAAAATCGTATTCTTGCAGCCATACTGCCCAACGTCCAATCATGCCCGTGTAATTAGTGAGCTTCTTGAGAGCCAGCAGGGGCTCGTGATCCATGACGAGGAGAAACTTTTGTCCGTACAAATACGGATGGAGGTGCTGAATTCCCCAAACCACCGCGTAGCATTCCCCCTGCGGAGCCGAATCGTTCCTCCTCTCATCCGATTTGGTACGGGATGCGTACTCAATGACGTGTTCGCGACCGTCGTTCCCCTTTTGCACCAGGATAACGGAGATTGCCTCAGGCTGCCAATCTGTGATGAGTATGAATTGCTTGGCCGGGTCTGGTCGAATCAAAATAGGCGTTGTAGCTAGTGCTTCCTTCAAAGTATTGAAGGCGTGTTCACACTCCGCGTCCCAGCTGAGGGGATGGTCCTTCCACAACAGGTTAGCAATAGTGGCAAAGCCCTTGATAAATCGACGATAGTACGAAGTTAGCCCTATAAATGCTCGAACTTGCGTCAGCGACGTGGGAGTTGGGGCGTCCCGTACGCCCGCGACTTTCTCGAATCAGGCCTCAAGCCTCCTCGAGTTACCACATAGCCCAGGAACGAGATCTCAAAAAAGAAAAACTCGCTCTTTTCCAGCGCAATCTTGAATCCAGCGTCCCGTAGGGCTCCCAATGTCCATTCGATATGTTGTGCGTGCCCGTGGAACGATTCTGAATAGACCAGGATATCGTCCATATACAGAATGACGCAGAAATTGATCATCCCCTGAGTCAGTCGAGTCTTGTTGATGAAGTTTTGAAATGTTACATTCATCGCTCTCTGAAACGTAGCCGGCGCATTGCAGATCCCCATTGGGCATCGGACCCACTGCCAGGTGCCTTCAAACAGGACAAAAGCCATGTTGGGCCGGTCCTCCTCTTAAACCAGGATGTGATGGAACCCATGACGAATATCAAACTTACTAAAATAACTAGCATACTCAATCGCGTCAAGCAAATCGTCAATGCAGGGAAGAAGATACACATCCTTGATCGTGATATCATTCAGTTTGCGATAATCAATACAAATGTGAATCGACCCGTTTTTCTTCGGTAGTAGGCCTACGGGAAATGACCACGGTCCCATGGCTGGTTCAATCCATCCGTTAGTTTCAAATTCCCTAATCCTTTGTAAGGCTGTCTTTCGTTCCGCGAGGGAATATCGGTACGGTTTACAGTGGATCGAAGGATGATTTCCGGTCTGAATCTCATGTTGAATGACCAACGATAGTCCGATATCCATGTCCGTCACACTGATCGCTCCCTGATATTCCTTCAAGATTTCGGCGATTAGATGGTGAATCTCGTTGGGCACGTAATGTGGCACGTGCAACTCGTAGGGTTGGCCTAGTATTTGGATGGTAATTTGCTTTGTGTCAATTTCGCCGATGTTCCCGGGCGGGGGCACAAAAATGAATGAATTGTCCGATCGCGAGGAGAACACCGTGACCATCATCTGGGGATTTTCTTCCCGGATCGCCACGTGTTCCTCCGGGGTTATCCCGTCGCAGACATCCTGCCATCGTACGGGTTTTTTCGCGATCTTGATCCCGAGATTGTGAGGCCCCGTGTCACATCGCGCAGGGGGTTCCAAAGCTTCGTCTTCAACCCCTAATCTTAGCAATCTTATCTCTTTTCCCAAAGTCAACAAGGAACGGGGTAGCTCCGTAATATCACAAAAGGCTCTCTTATCCCTGTATCTCGCAAGCAGTGGAGTGGTGCCCTCGTATAAGGTCCAAAGGGGTTCCAAAGAATCGATCATCCGGGAAATTTGCACAAGCGGTTCGCCTAAAATTAATGCGCGTGTTCTCTGAATGTTTCCTTCCATGAGTTTGAACGTTTTCGTGGTTGCTTGTCGAATCAGATAGCGGACGTGTTGCTGCACTAACTCCCGAATTACTAACTCATTTTCGTCGCTATTATCGGTGTCACTCGAGAGGTTTGGCTCCTCTGTCCGGTGATTACTTCGTTCCGCAAGTTTCTTCCAAGCGATCATTCGGAGAGTTCCTCCGGGCATTGGAGGAGTTTTCTGGGTTACCTCTGCCACCGTTCTGAGAGTCAATCTCATAGGGATGGCGAATGGTTTCCCTCCCGTATTCTGAAGGACAATCGATCGTCTTTCAAAGTCTAGATTGGCCCGCAGCGCCGTGAGAACGGGTAGTCCCAAAAGAGTGTCATACGTGCTTACATCTAATACCACGACATCTCCCAGGGCATGTACCTTTCCCAATCGAAACGCCATGTTGGTCATTCGTCCCACTGTCTTGATTTTTTCTTCATCCGCAGTGACGAGGTGATCCTTCTCTGTCAGCATTATCAGATTTTTCTTCTTCCTGCTCTTTCTACTACCCTTAGCGAGATAGCCAAGACGGCGGCTCCCGAGTCGATGATGGCATTGTACGGGATTCCCCAGACCTCGATGTCACATTCGGCGGATTTCCATGGGATTGCTTTGATCCGCAGGAAGTGATCGTCTTTCTGTATTAGTCTCAATCGTATAGGTTCCGACATACTGGCAAGGTTCGGGTTGTCCTCTTGGGCATGAGCTTTTCCTTTCGTGTTCGTCGTTCTCGCAAGAGCGAATCGTTTTCTGTTTGCCTTGCAGTGTTGCAACATGCGCTCGTTAGCCTGTTCCGAAATGGATAACAGATGTCCGATCGGGAGGGGGATGCGGTGATCCAGAGCGCGAACGACGTTTAAAACATCTATTTCCCCCCTGATGAAGGTGGGTCCTCCAAATTTCATTTCCCCTGGAGAGGGTCTCCATTCCGCCACCTCTCGCCGTTCATGGGCGGGTCTAATAGTCCCGATCATTCCCAACCCCGGATATCCTAATGTCCCGTACTGGTCTAAAGGAATAAGCTCTGCAACTTCTTCTGTAGTGGCTAATGTACTCCGTCCTCCTTCCATTTCTTCCATCATCGCTCCCACTCTTCCTGGCCCATTAGCGATGGGGGCCGCGGCCCTAGTGTACCTCCGACTCGAGCTTGCACAGGTCGATGGGGGCAGTCTCGAGGTATGTGTCTAGGCTGGTGACACGTGTAGCAAATACTCGGGTTGCCTGCTGCTCCGTCTATTGCCGGAGCCAGGGCCAATCCAGGCTGTAACGGTGCGACTCTTACGGCAATGGGACGCATCGATCTCATCAACGACTCTATCCTAGCGTTATGCTCACGCTGCTCCTTTTTGCTTTCTTGTATCAAGGTAACCAACGTTTTGGTCAGCTCTAGTATCGCAGTCGATTCGCTTAATCGTGTAGGATTTTCAAGCGGGGGTGGGTGAGCAGTCATCACAGGAACAGGTACCCCTGTGATTGGACAGGGAGTCAACCGTTTAGGTACAATTTGCTCCAAATATGTGACAGGACCCGACACGAATCCCATGTTTTCAAAATTATTTTGTACTGCGGCGAGTTCTGCTTTGGCTCTGGCCAATTTAGACGAATCTCCTTCCCTAGGATAGTCTTCTCCTTCCAAGAAGCTCGCGGAGAACTTCCATTCCATCTCTTCAGCTGATGCCATGATCTGTTGCAACGTGTGGTTAATGGGGGAAAACTATTTTCGCAGTTTTGCCCTCATTGTTCCACCGCGAAGCCCGTCGATAAACAAGTCTCTTTCTACCTGCTCCCCTCGCTCAGTTTTAACAAACATTCGGTAAAACCGATTGCGGTATTCAGTGACGGATTCGAGTGGTTTTTGGACTCGATCCTTGATCATGAAAATGGCTTGTTCTTGATGAATGTAATCAAAACGATTCAAAAAGTCTTGTTCGAATGTCGGAAGATCAATCCAAACTTATGTGCTGAACCAATGGTGTGCGTCCCCTCCCAATCTGGCCGGGATATTGATTCGCGCTTCATCATTGTCGTACTGCTACGCGTGGAGCGTGGCTAGCCACGCTCAAGCGAGATGATGCGCAGGATCGAAAAGGTAGAGATCGGGTGGGGCCACAGGTGCCTTAGCCCGTGGTGATGGTACCTGATTGGGTTGGATTTTGCTGGTTGGCATTCAGATTGATCGCCTGCCGAACAGCCCACCTGGTCCGGGTTACTATAGGGTCGCGTCGTGGCTCGTTCCGCCGCCTGGGTCGTCCTATGTTGGCCAGATCGTTCTATGCTACCTACCCTCTGGCCAATCCCGGGGGCTTGCCACGTATCGCTCCGATACCAACCTCATGCCCAGCGCGACTTCCTAATCGGAGTGGGATGGGGGCCCGGAAGTGCGCAAAAGAGGGTGTGCCAAGGATTTTAGGAAAGTGGGGGTGGAGTCCCAGGTCGGAACTGAGATCTCCTGTGGCAAGTTTCAGGGGTATAGGCGAAAAAGAGGGTGTACTCAGAAGGGAGGTTGCTAATGTCATGCAGCACAAGGCAGATGACATGCGCAGTGCATCTCAGGCTAAAGATTGGGGGCACCTTCTCGCTATCGTCGTACCGATAGATCTAAACACTCTTGCATTCTCGAACAAAATCCCAACAACATCGCCCCTGCCAACGGGTTCAACTTTCAAGGCCGAAAAGAAATGGAAAACACCATCTCCTCTGATTTCGTGTTCGTGGCCGGTTGTGTGGCTCGATCAGTCGTCGGCGCCCCTCGGCTTCAGTTCGGGCTTGTCAAGCGAACTCCGCGGCTCAATAGGCCTGGTGCCGCATGCACTTCTCGCACGGTCGGCGAGGCCAATAGCGGGCTATGGAATTCCACGGTACCACTGTGAGTTGGTGATACGGAAGGAGGAGGTGGAAGGGAGGGAAACTGGTAGTAATAATGACGAAGTTGGGGGATATGAAATATTGCGTGTTATAAGTTTCCGGGTAATCGGGGCCCCTGGGGTCGTTAGTTATGGCACAATGAAAATCCCTCGCACATAATCGGTCGTTTTCTGTTAGGCAGGGGAATTCCGGATTTCTTAAATTTCCCTGTCGTCTTAGTTGTTCATTTTTCCAGTATTCGCGGTATTCCAAGTCCCTCAGGCTCTCACGATTGGACATCCAAGAGGAAAATTCTGCAGCCATATTTGTTTAGAAAGCTCGGTCTCCTGCATTCTGGTGCGAAGTTTAAGGCTGACTCACTCAGGCGAGTGCGTATGTAGCGACTCAGTTTCCTCGAGATCGCGGTCGTACGCACGCGTGTATGTGAGAAACAACGGATTGGTTCTAGGGGTTGATTGCGTTCAACATGCATGCAGATATCCTACCCATGCTATGTTGGGTGTGATCCGATCATTACATGCCGTACATGTGACGGGAAGGAGGCAAGAGGGGGCAAAACAATCAACTCCTCGCAATGCTTTGGGTGATCGAAGGTTAACGGTTTAAGTCCATACGTCCATAACGAGCATTTTCAATCAGATCTGAGCGTATAGCTCACGCAAGCGGATCGCAAAACCGATTGGAAATCCGAAAATATCGCTAACAAAAAATGACTTCACATTCATTCCATGCATGCATACGAAGTAAATGACAAGGAAAACCCGAGACGGTTTACATGAGAAGTCAAAAAGAAGGTCGCGATAAAATCGACCATATCCGGATCCAAAATTATACAGAGGAACAAAGAAAAAGAAAGGAACAACAAAAAGGAAAAGAAAGGAACAAAAAAAAGAACCTTATCCCACACCCACACAACTGGTCTCTCTCTCTCTCTCTCTCTCTCTCTCTCTCTCTCTCTCTCTCTCTCTCTCTCTCTCTCTCTCTCTCTCTCCGCGCTCCCGATGTGGGCAGTCCGTCGCCTCGCATCCACACAGAATTGTCACCCCGCTTGGTCCAAGCATGCAAGCCAGGTTCGCCTGTGCGCCACAGTCCGTCGCGACCCCACATGTCAATCGCGCATACGCGACACCAGCTCGTCGGATCGCCCAACTCTCATACCCACTCACCTTCCAAACTTACTTGTTAGCCGACCCTCACTAATCGCGCTAGCCTCGAAATTCTTAGAGAGCAAACTAATCGTGCTTGCGAAATTTATAGCATGCATGCCCGCGCGAAAGGTACGGGATTAAGCCCAAATGGACAAGAAGAGAAGAGAGGAAGTGCCTACGTCTGCATGGCAAGGCAGCGGCATGGGGGTCGTAGCCACACTGCACACATCGATCCGGTCATGCAGGCATTTAGGCCAATTGGAACGGAGCATGCGAGGCGAGGAAGAAGGAGAAGGCGGGCATATACAAGGGAATCAAGAAAGAAGAAAGATACAGTTACAATCGCGCCCACCAAAATGATAGTTACGCAGGATTAAGGGCCCGATCCAGTCAGAGCCCAGTTCCCAGTGCAGCAAGATGCGCGCAGGCGCGTTGCAACAAAATTCAAAGTACCTAAATTCCTATCCTAAGTCCTAATTGCAAAGGGAAATTTCGAAAAAGCAGAAAAGAAAAACAGTTCAGCGAACCCGCGGGGGCTCGACATCAATTGAAAATTCAAAAACAATATTCCCGTGCGATGATCGCGCAAAAATTCCCAGTGCTCACAGCAGAATAAGAAAGAAGCTAAGGTACAGTTATTTCTTGCGCCCATCATGGCGCGACCATCCAACCGTCGGTACGGGATTTTACCGACATCAATCCGACAATTTTCAACAGAAAACGAAGAGAAACGAGGGCATTCATGCAACTAGCCCACCAAACCCATCTTTCCACAGCCCACCCCTTCGACCCGTCGCATTGCCCCAAGTAGCCTGGCGCAGAAAGTCGCGCAATTACAGAAAATAGTTCATCACAGTGGCGTGGCAATGCCCCTGGTCCCGTGTACATGTGGAGAAAAGCCAGCACCGTCCCACCAGTCCGCCATCCGCCACAGTCCAGTGTTCAGGCCGGGACGGATACCACAACTCGTGTGGCGCTTAGGCCTGACGATAGTTTAATTTGAAGCAGCTCTGGGCGTCCCTAGTTGGACTGCTCAAACTACGAGATGCTCTATGGGGGCACACTGGCATGTCCAAGCTACGACTTTCTGTAGAAAGAGCGTTAGCAACAAGTACCGTGCTCTTAGCTTTTAGCGGCCAGATACCCTGGGCAAAGAAGCTCATTGAACTGTGACCAATGAAGTGGGACTGGTTCAACATGAAGCAACCCATTGTTTACGGCCTAGTTTCGCCTTGGTGTAAGAAGGTGTACATAGGGAGGTCAATTAGAGGAGCAACAGAAAGGTGGTGGGAGCACGTGAGGTGTGCGGAGACAAGAAAGGTAAGGAAAGCGTGAAAACTGTATCAGTGGTTGAACAAGTATGGATGGGGTAAGTATATAGTCTTACCTATAGCTACCACAGACGTCGGAGGCATAGCGGACCTGGAGAAAACCTTGATCAAGCGTTTCTCTCCTTCGTTAAATGTAGTGGGAACCAAAAAGGTTGGGAAACCCAAAAGGAGGATGGGTAGAAGGGAGCGGAAGGCGAGGAAGGGCACAATGGAAATTGTACCCGAACGTACCAAACTGATTGTCTTCCGTTCTCAGCATAGCTCGGCAGGTAACACCAGTCCGAAGTCCATACTGCAATCAGCTCATAAAGCAAGAATGAAAGGGGTAGAAGCATTTAGCGAAGGTGGAAAGGTATGGGGAGAAGACTGGGCTGTAGTTAAAAGGTTGTTCGGCACCTCAACAGTCATAACGGTCGAAGGGAAGATCTCATTTGGACACGCTAAAACACGTTTTGAAAACGGGGGTCATTTTTGGATCACCCCGGTAGTTCAGACGGTTAATGCGAGAGAGAAAGGAAAAGGTTATTTGCGGTAGCTTCAAGAGATGTCACACAAGCGCAGAGAGCTATCTGGCATGCCCATCGATAAGCTCATGCACTTGTACAGCAGTGCTGGTAGTTTTCAGGAAAAGAGTACGAGGAAAAAGGTCAAGGACGTTATCGCAAATGCAGTGTCTAAGAAGGCGTGTGTAAATGTGAGGAAGAAAATTACAGTCAAGGTCCGGTTTAGAAAGGAGATCAAAAAGAGTGAGATAAGGCATGTACTGGTGAGCAAAATTAGCTGTTGTGAACTGCACCCTGCCATTACAGGCCTGCTGAGTAGGAAACTGAGAGTCGTCTGGCGTAGAAATCGGAGCGTATCCGAAATACTCTGCAACCACAAGGCGTACAGTAAGAAAGAGGACTCCAGTTGCACTTGTGCTCATTTTGACTTACCACGGTCGGACAGTCACATCCTCACCAGGATTGCGGACGTCGGATTGTTACCCCAGTTCGTTTTAAATGGTAAGAACGTGACCTGTCCCAAGCTCAAGACGACAGAGGAGGAGCTGAGCATAAGCATCAGACAAGGACTGACTGCAGCCTTAGGCCAAAAGGTGGCCCACACGCTCAATGACTGGCAGCTAGGTGGTTGTTTCATGTCTGGTTGCAACCGAACTGAAGAAGCGGAGGAGGAGTTGGTCTTTGCAGTAAAGCGGAAGTACAGAGAATTGGTCATCTCTCAGGTAGACAGAAATGCTGGAGACCTGGTACTGATGTGCCCACTGCTATACCAACGAGGGCTATACAAAATGTTTACTTGGAATGCCGCGTATGACATTGCTACCAGCAGCGAGAAGGAGATTCTGACGAAGACGAAGAAGGACTACTTAGCGCTGGGCTTGGACAAGGTTGCCGCTTGGGATAGCAAGGGTGCAATCGGGAAGGCCTATGTCTTACCCAAGCATAAGGATCTTACGCGCTGGCGACCTATCGTGCCTGCGACTAATGAACCTACAAAGAATGGTAGCCGATTGGTCGCAAGAGCGCTGAACTACCTGCTGGCCAAACTTCCTGCAGCGACGCATTTCAACCTTGGTGCGACTGCCCAGCTCAAGCAGAACTTACAGAAGGCAGAAAAGAAGCTTCAGCTATTTGGAGATGAGACAATGGTCGCCGGTGGAGGATTCGACATTAAAGAGATGTTCACTTCATTACCACATGCAGCAAGCATGGAGGCACTGCGTTGGCTTCTACAGCAATGGAAGGAGAAAGGCTACAGCAGTGTTACTGTCAGCAAGAGAGGCAAGTTTGCTACCCTTGGTGTCAAGTTCTACGGGAAGAGTTACGTGAAGCTCTCGTTGCAGTTACTACTGAAGTTCGTGTCATTTGAACTGAAGCACACGTTTAATGCGTGTAAGGGCATGATCCTCAGACAACGAATTGGAGTGCCAATGGGTAAAAACTCAAGCCCACCACTAGCTTGTCTGATGTGCGCAAAGTTCGAAGTGGACTTCTTGAAGTCACTTGGCAAGGAAAGAAGACTGGTGCATGGCGTGAGATTTATGGACGATGTATCACTTACAGTTGCGTTCAACAGAGGGAAGGAGAGGTCTGTGCAAAGAGCTGTGCAGATAATGGAGAGTTTCCAGGAGTGCTACGGGAGCGAACTCTCACTCGCCCGGACGGACGATGAATCAAACACTTTCGATTTCATTGGAGCACAGATCACAATCACAGCGGGCAACATCCATTTTTTCATGGAACCGGAGGTGAAAAACGAGTACTAGGAGGAACGGCAGCAACCTGTCTTCAGATGCTACCAAGACTTCAATTCCTACACGGACAAGAAGACAAAGATCGGAGCCATCACGGGTAGTCTCCACCGGATCCAACAGATGGGGAGCAACGGCAGTTCATTGGTCCGCCCAGTTCTCGCCATGAAACAGGAACTCCTGCGCCGGGATTATCCCCCGGCGCTCTTCTTCTCGACCTTAGCGAGGTTTGCTAAGGGCACCAGTACTCTCAGGGAGCCATGGGAAAGGCTATCTGAGAGCCTGGTTTACTGGCACGGAGTGTCAAGACTACAACAGGTGTTCAAGCCTCTGTAGATACCCTGACTAGGGACTGTACATTAGTATTCTTGTATAGCCCCCTAAAATTTCTGAGAAGTACGTACGTTATTATGTCTACTGCAGACGTGGGAATAATATCGTTTTTGTACATTGCCTTTCGGAGTACTATATCGTTTTGTACATTGTTTTTCGCGGAGTACTATCTGCATACGGCCGCTACTGTAGGGATAGCATGTAAATGCCTGGTATTAGCAAACTGTAGCTCGGGTTAGCCAGCGTAAGCAGCTTGCTGTGTAGGCAGGATTGGAATTGGAACGTTCGAATTTGTTCGGCGGTAAGTTAGGGCCCATAGCCGGGCACTCTGCGGCGCGTAGTCGGATGTCAGTTCATACCCGATGGGCGTGAAGTGTACTGGCGGGAAAGAAATCAAAGTCCGAAGCTGCGCAGTTCGGATTTCCACGTATGACGGGTGAGCATTTTACAGACTGGTAGCTGACGCGTACATAGTGCCAGTTGTCGTGAATAGCATGGACTTTGTGATAGTAGGTGGAGTAGGGTCCAGCCTGGACGCCCGTGCATGTTTAAGTCCGAGTCGACTGCGGGTGGCACACAGGTACTGATCCGGGTGCGGAAATTGATAGCGGGATTGGAAAGAAATATTGAGAAATAGCTATCGGGCCGTTTCGCCTGGGATTTGGAATTTGTAATACGCGATTGGCTGGTAGCACCTAGGATTTCCGTATTTCCCCGGAAATTCCCAGTCATCTTCTACTGGTCAGTGCCCGCCCTTCTTTAGGCGGGAAAAAGCTTCCAAAGACGCGGACAAATTTCAAATTAGTGTGGCAGTATCCCGTAACTGACTACCGAGTAGGACGACAACGCCGCGCGGAGAGTTTAGGCATAGGTAGTCTTTTCTGTATTAATTTGAGGGCAAGGCGGTCGGCCCTCATTGCTCAGTGGCAGAACAGGTAGGTGGGTGCTGTAAGGCGGATCCGAGGAGAAGGCCCCTGATGAGTGCCAGGTGCGCTTCCTGGCTGAAACGTGCGTAGGGCGATGAGCGTTTCAGTGCGTGCGGTTGAGCATGGAAATTTCTGTTGAAGCATGCACGAAGGACATATGGCCTCTGTTTATCACTATTCTTCTTCTTCTTCTTCCTTTACCTTCTTCTTTTACCTCCTTCTTCTTCTTGTTGTATGTTCACCTGTTTTACTCGTGTTTTGCCTCGTGGGCTTGTCTCAAATTTGAGATTTGCTTCCTCGAGATTGAATTCGGATGATGACAATTCCGTTTTTTTTGTTTTTTTTGTGGGACCACTCAAATTTTCACAGTGCTTTGACGATGGTTTAATTTGAAGCCACGAGTAATTGCGACTGCAATTGGCATGGGTCTGTCTCCTGTATCCAGTCAAACAAGCCCTCTGTCTCTCCCTGTCCCCCTCGTCGCCTCTCTTCCCCTTTCTCTCATGCTCTGTTTGGATGTGTGCTGTTTTGTTTGTAAACTCGTTCTGGATGCGGTTTGACTTACAGTAATTTCTTGGTATGCAGGTCTTTGCACTAAATATCCATACCATCAATCAATCGTCGTTATTGTGCATTTGCTAGAATTCTGATTACTGGTACTCAATCATTTTCTTTGTAGGGGTGCAGTTTCCACCCACTGATAATGCTGCTGATGTGTCTGGCCGGGGAAATGTCAATTGGCACCGGATTCCCTGATAACGAATGTTGACGAATGTACACAAGCTATCTTTCCGGGTCGTTGCAGCCAGAGTGAGGGTGCGTTGTGTTCGGGGGAATTTGGTAGTCTTCTTTGTATCAAGCTGTACGGCGATTGGCTTCGCTCAATGTCATCACTACCGTCTTCACTCGAATCGAACAGAAGGTACGGTCATCATCCCCCGTATCTGGACTGAAAGTTGCCCCAAATACCGCTGTAATGACCGTATGTTCTATTTGGGCCGGAAAGACCGCATTGATGCTCTACCAGTGAGCGTTGTTTCCTGTGACGCGCTCGTCCCTGGCAATTCATCAGTGCTGGGATCGAGGACAGGGTACGACGCTTGTAGCAGCAGCAGCAGTAGCAGAGCACCGCCGTGTGGTTTTTGATTGCATGCAGCCACGTGGGTTGTGGATGTGAGAGAGCCAAAAGGTGGTTGAATTGTACTCCTTTGAGCATTTCAACTTTGACGGTTCGGCATTTTTTAAACAGAAATCGTCAGGTCCTACTGGCGGGAACGCGCTTAGGCCTGACGATTTCCGTTCAAAAAATGCCGAAATTGCAGGCAGGAACGTCAAAGTTGAAAGCCCGAAGAGGTAAAACCTTAAAACCCTAAAACCCTAAGATCCTACGCTCGACATGGACTGCGCCTCGATCGGCTTCCCTCGAATAGAACGCACGGTCATTACCGCTGCATCTGAAATTGAAAGTTGCCCCAAATATTCGGGAGGGGGAAGAGACGGTCGCGCGACAGATTTTTCCACTTTTCTGAATTCTCGATTTCCAGCCGTTGATTGCGAAGATGAACGGGCATACATATTCAGCCTTCCTTGCCCCCCCCCCTCCCCCCTACGCATATCGACTGCCACTTTCCAAGAATCCGGGTAATTGGGACTTTCGTCCACAGTCTTCAAACTTGATGGACCCCAGGCAAAGACACTGGCAGTAAAACGTTTTTCTACTATTGCTTTGTTTTTTTTACCGTCGGCAGTAAATTGATTGTGCATCGTGTTGAAGGTTCTTTACCTGTAGGGCTCGGCTGTTGCCCGACTGACCTCGTGTGCGGTTTTCTGTTCTGTCTAGCATTCCAGGGAAGCAACCGCGGAAGGACGGAGAGAAGGAGGGAAGAGCTGGAGGAAAAGTGACATAGGAGGGGAGAGGAAGGAAACGAAGAAGGAACGCCGGAACAAAAGGAAGGTCGTCCTGTTAGATTCGCCAGAAGATTGAATTGGGTTGGGATATACTTAAGGAAAAAAGAAGAAATACAGGGAAGGAGAGAAGATTTCACGATGCCTGCGGTGGTGGAGCCTTTGCTGGCTGAGAACAGCCAACGGTTCTGTATGTTTCCTATCAAGTATCCGTCCATCTGGGAGTTTTACAAGAAAGCGGAAGCAAGTTTTTGGACGGCGGAGGAGGTTGATCTGTCTCAGGATCTAGCGCATTGGGATGGGCTSAACAAGGAYGAACGGTWCTTCATTCTTCACGTGCTGGCGTTTTTCGCYGCGTCGGACGGTATCGTGTTGGAGAACCTGGCGATCCGGTTCATGAAGGACGTGCAAGTGCCGGAAGCTCGCGCGTTTTACGGGTTTCAAATTGCCATCGAGAACATCCATTCGGAGATGTACAGCCTGTTGCTGGAGACGTACATAAGCGATCCGCAGGAGAAAGCTCGTCTGTTCAACGCGATCGAGACGGTCSCTGTGGTGAAGAAGAAGGCGGATTGGGCCTTGAGGTGGATAGGGAGCTCGAGCASCTTCGGGCAGAGAYTGGTGGGTTTYGCCGCCGTGGAGGGGATCTTCTTCTCCGGCAGCTTCTGCGCCATCTTCTGGCTGAAGAAGAGGGGCTTGATGCCCGGTCTCACCTTTTCCAACGAGCTGATTTCCCGGGACGAGGGTTTGCACACGGAYTTTGCCTGCCATCTTTACTCTCTCCTCCAGACCAAACTCCATCCGCAAACTGTSGAAGACATCATTCGCGACGCCGTCGCCATBGAGAAAGAGTTCGTCTGCGAAGCTCTGTCTTGCGACCTCGTCGGAATGAACGCCGCTCTGATGAGCCAATACATCGAGTTCGTGGCTGATCGCCTTCTTGTGGCGCTGGGATGTCAGAAGGCGTACAACGCCCAAAACCCGTTCGATTGGATGGAGTTGATCTCCCTCCAAGGGAAGACCAACTTCTTCGAAAAGAGAGTGGGAGAGTACCAGAGGGCGGGCGTGATGGCGAACCTAAATAGCACGGATGCCGTAGGGAACAGGGTCTTTAAAACGGACGAGGACTTCTAACGAGTAAAACACGTTCTTGGATGTCAAGAGTAGGAAGTAGATCTAGATGAGAGGGCATCAGAGGAAGAAACAGCGGGGGGGTGGGGGGGGGGTAGAGGCTGTAGGTGAGGGAGGAAATGGGGCATGAGGCGGAGGCGTCAGAGGAAGAGAAAAGCGCAGGAGAAGGGGGGCAGGTAGCAGAAGAGGGATCTGAAGGCACCTGAAGAGGAGGGAGTTGAGGGACAGATAGACGAGGGGAAGGAGGACGCGGAGAAGAAGGAGAACAAGAGATGGGAGAAAACGAGGAAGAAGAGGGAAAGATGAAGATGAACAGAGATCAGAGGACCGAAGAGGACAGAGGAGGAGAGACAGAACGGTAGTGGGAGTGTGACATGGTAGAGGCTTTACGAACGATTGCAGTAAAATTGGACGGTGGTTTTCAAGGTATAGCGAATAACGAGGTGTCTTTCTGCTTCTGCCGCACGGAAAAAACAAAAAAAAAAGAGAGAGAGAGAGAGAGAGAGAGAGAGAGAGAGAGAGAGAGAGAGAGAGAGCTTTGTAGATTCAATGTCCTGCAGGTACCGAATTCGGAAACGATGTCATCGTGGTTGGGCGAATATGGTCAGGTGGTTAGCCGATGACAAATCGGGAGGAGATGAAACGGCATTGCACTGTTCAGGTGATGGCTCAGCAGTGAGTTATATTCTCGGACGGCGCTGATATGATGGCGAGGGTGGTCGATGTTCTACTGTTCAGTTGATGTCACGTGGCCAGTCGGCTGTTTCCAAGACGTCTCAGCGGGCGTCCGGTCACCTGTGATGATCAAATCGAGGTTAGGTGAGACGTCCGTTCAATCCTGATATGCTGTGATGGGACGCAGGTTGTCTATAATGGTCCTTCGATCTTAGCTACTCGTGGATGAGCAGCAGTTTCTTTTATTTGGTGTGACTCGTTCGGTGGCGTCTTTATCTCTTGGCTCTTACTTTGCGGTAGAGGTTAATTGTTAGTGGAGAGGTAGCCTATATTACCGCACCTTTGCATTTTATTAACACATTGTTCTGGCGCCTTCACACACACACACGGACCCAGACACAGAGAGAGAGAGAGAGAGAGAGAGAGAGAGAGAGAGAGAGAGAGAGAGAGAGAGAGAGAGAGAGAGAGAGAGAGAGAGGTCCGAGAGCTCCCAACGAAGAAGTGGGTCCAAGCCGGTCAGGTGTGAGGGAGGAAGGATCTTGAAAGAGGGAGACGATTGTGAGAGTGCAGCATTCGTCTCGTGGTTCCGGTTTAGGTTCGGCCTTGGGCCCTCGGGATCTGCTATGGGCTCGGTAAGATATCTGTCGAAGCATGCCGTTCGCTGATTGTCCAATTGCATTCGAATATATAATTATTGACGCAGCAACGTCAATGCCTGAATCGCTGTCTTTGTCAGGACTTCTTCTGACTGATGTTTCTTGCATACACCATTTGTTGCCTCTCAATCTGTCTGTCTCTGTCTGCCTCTGTGGCTACTCCCCCTTCCTTTCCCCCCAACCCCCGCAACCCGTCTCTCTCTCTCGCGCGCGCATTTTCCTCCTCCTTGGGTCGCTATGAGAGAAGCTCACATGAGTAAGTCTTTTTCTTTTCCCTTCCCCTTTTTGTCGGAAGGGGATGGCCTCGACTTCATTGTATTTATCTGTTTCTATCAGGATTTGGACCCGTGTTCCTTTTCAATGACACTTACATGTGTGTACCTTTCAGCTACGTGCGCTGGGCAAGGCTGACGTCTTCCTGCTTGTGTACAGCAGCCCTGTGTAGTGCTATCATGCTATGACATTTTCGTGCACGTGAGAAGTGCCCATCCTATCCTTCTGCCTCCGAGCTCGCCATCCCAACAACTGGGGCAATGCTCTCTCTCTCTCTCTCTCTCTCTCTCTCTCTCTCTCTCTCTCTCTCTCTCTCTCGCGCGCGCGCGCGCGCGCGTGCTTCCTCGCCCCTGCCCCCGCCCACGCCCCCCCCACCCAAAGATCACAGTCAGCGTGGCAGATTGAGTTCTGTTTGAGAACGGGCATACATATATTCAGAAAATCTTGAAGGATTTTGAAGGAGGGAATCAATCTTTAAAAATGACATTGTGGGAACTAATTCAACTGATGAAATCAGTTTTGCATGTGATCCCAACAATGATCCCCACAAGGATCTGGCAGTCCGAACATGTGCTCTCAATAGGAATGTCGTACAAAAAATCTTGTGGAATGCTGGGCTCCCAATCGCTCTGCCCATGTCACCTTCATGGCCCAGGCTGCCCTGGCGGGCAAGGGCCAGGGGGAAGGTCCCTGCAAAAAGAAGTAAAAATCCAAAAGATTTGAACAAAAGGCGCCGCTCCACAGCTCTCCGCATGCACAAAAGACAAAAATTATGGCGGTGTATTGTCGTTGTCAGCCTTAGCGCGCGTGCGTGTGGAGGGTGTATGCGTGTGGGTGTGGATAGATTGACGGCTTGCACACACACACACACACACACACACACACACACACACACACACACACACTCACTCTCACTCCCTGTTAACCGCTTATGACACACACACACAACCTGCAGAATCGAACGAGGATCCCTCTGCCGTAAACGGACCCCCCCACGCAACCTTCGGAATCAGACAATGTCATAGCGTTACAGCGAGGGCGCTGTGCGTACTATGCCATTAATGTATGTCTCCTTGCTTACAATTGTACTGTTGCTGATTTCCCAGACGTTGTTCACTGGATAGAAGAAGAGCACTGTGCCATCTGCCCAGAGGACGACAGCGCTGCACCTGAGGTGAACATAGAAGTCCTGGCTATGGCATTTATGGGTAGGCGACTGCAATTCCAGCCTGCTCCGCAAAACCACGAGCCATGTGGCGGACCCACCAGGTGTGGTGCACCACCTGGGATAGAGATGGAAATGGAGGAAGAAGGGGGGGAGAGAGATGGCACAGCGCAGCTCCCATGCTAGACTCCAATGCACGTACTCCAAAGTGTGCGGATGTAGAATGATCCGGAAAACAGACAACAGCTGGTGTATACCCCAGCGGACTGACTGGACTGGACTGGACTGGATGGTACTGACAGAGGTACCGGCCTGGACACTGGACAGGACTACCCCGAATACAACACAGGCCTGTGAGAACAGGCCAACAGGCCAAGGGTCTGGTCTCACAGGCCAACCAGAGGTCTGCTACACGATCCTCGGCCTTTGATGGATCGCCTAGATACAAGCACGCTTCCGCCAAGAAGTGGAACTCTACGAAAGAAAAAGAAAACCTGAGTAGTCTAGGATGCGGAGCAAGGTCCATGCTGAGTCCGTGCGATGCAACCTAGGATAGAAAATGCCACAAACAACAGCGATGTCACAACTAACAGCCTAAGTGAAAGCAGAAGCAACTAACTAGCATACATGTCCTAGGAAAGCAGAAAGTAATGACAGCTAGATCGTAGAATGTTGGAGGCAGTAGCCTCAGTCTGGAAACAGCTGACTAGTGTAGAAGTCCTAAGAACAGCAAAAGCAGAACAACTAAGTCCTAGAAATGTCAGAGGCAGTAGCCTCAGTCTGAGAGCAACAAAGCAACAACAAGACAACCATATGTCACAGGAGGAGTGTGTCGCAAACCAAAGGGTGGGATGGTCTCTGACGGTGGCGAATGCAGCCTAGGGGTCGATAACTCCTAAGGGCATCCACACATAATGAGAGGGGGACACATGTCATCAAGCTCAATGGGGGCAGGGAACTGGGAACGAACAAAACCAATGACCCTAACAGATAGACCATCAGGGCGGGTAATGCTCGACTAAAGGGGTGGCCGCTATGGAGGGTCGACCATGCAAGGGAACAAGGGAGCCCGGTATACTGGGCGCACCTAGATGAAGCATGCGAGGCTGCCTAACTAGGGCGTGAGGGCCGGCAGACTATGTTGCACGCCCGGTTATGACCGGGGATGAAAAATCGGCCGCGGTCATGGCCGACGCCCGAATCGGTCGGGTTCGGCCACGACCGACCAGCCAAGTTTGGTGCAGCATTTTTTTTTTCATATTTTAGCGGCAAAAAAAAAAAAAAAGGGCGGGCAAGGTTGAAAAAGCCCTGCATGCCCATTTTTTTTTTTTCGGTGTCTGACGTTGCGGGTCGCCCAAAGGGCCGTTTCGGCCTTTTCAAGGTGTCAGTGGGTAGGGCGTGTCTATGGGGGGTGGGTCCAGGCCCAGGCAACAGCAAAGCTGTTGCCGTTTCAGATAAATGCGAAAATTTGTCTGAAACGGCAACAGTTGATGTTGTTGCCATTATCTGTCGCTGTCTAGCCATGTCGTCGCCATAGCTGCTGGCACAAAGAGAGAGAGAGAGAGAGAGAGAGAGAGAGAGAGAGAGAGAGAGAGAGATTCTTCTTCTTCTTTTTCTTGTTCTTCTTCTTGTTCATCTTCTTCATCTTCTTCTTCATTTTTTTTTATTTTTTTTCTTCTTTTTTCTCGTTGCGCGGCACGTGCGCACGCAAGGCTGAGCGTCGGGTGGTTGCGACGAACTGCGGGATCTTAGCAAGTTGGTGCAAAAGCCGAGGTGGAGGGGTGACGGTCGTTGTGGTATGGAGGTTGGTACGTGGCGGTCGGGATTGTCAGTACTTGAGTAAGAAGGGTGTGTGTGTATGAGTAGTTGCATGGACATGGACCATTATCAAAGAGCAAAAGACCGATGTACCTTGATTTTCGGTTCTTCTTCTGATTCTTGACAGCTAAGTTCACGACGGATAGCCGGTTGTTGTCCCCCTTAAGCTTGTTTGCATGATCAAAGTTCTCTTTCTCTTTTTCTTAGTCCTCGTCTTTGGTGAAAGCTATGATCTCGTCCTTGTTATCTCTCTCTCATTCTCGTTCTTTGCTTCAGTTCAGCTCATGAACGTCAGAAAGATCTGATGATCCTCTTACTCCGCTCGTGCCTGTCAAATTCAATCGGACCTTGCGAGAACGAGTGTTATTGAATTTGAGGAACCAGAAAACCCGGGTTATCCCACCCTGCCCCCTCCATGCCTCCTAACATCTGATGGTTCGTGCATGCTAGGTATGTTACTTGCATGCATCGATTGTGCTATTGCAAAAATCATCGAGCTAAGATTCTATTGAGATTATGTGAATGCATACTTACCACTCACTCAATGAATGATGATTATTCTTCGAACTCACATTTTTTTTAGAGTGGTTTGCATGATGGACAAAAGACAAAAAACACGTAGCACTGAGACTGTTTACTTATATAACGGGTTGAGTGAACTTATATGGTCAGTTTTCGCTTATCCCACGTTGACCGATTGTCCCAATCCGATTGGTGTCGACTTCCCGTATCCTCATCCCAGTCGTTCCTGTATAACGAGGAAAGGACACGTATATGTGAGTGGGATGTACGAGAAGTCGTCGCCAAAATTGGCGGAACACTATTATTTTTCACTCGGAACAAGGTGGTCGGGATTCGTAGGCGGTGGTTTTGTCATTATCGATACCCACTTTCCCCCGTACTCTTTATTATTACCTTTTAACGAACTTATTGTCATCCCGTGGGCGGCAATAGCGCCTCACTGGCCCAACACTCTGTGTAGCGATTGTCGCCGCACCGAGTGTTAATGAAAAAAAGGGTTTCACTACCGGACACGTGGTGAAGACAAATACAAGGAAAAAACGGCTCGACTGAAGGCGTCCACTTCAAATTTCGAACTCTATAATGAGTGGTGTCAGGATTTGATTCGGAAACGAGATCCCACGTGCGTACCCCCTCCTTTTTGTCCAGAACGACGACGAGCATGGAGATTCAAAGATACTTTTTGGATTAGACGAACGTTTGAAAGTGGCACGCGTCATTTATTTTCTTCACGACTATGGTCCTTTTTCACTCAAAATTGAATTACACGGGGGCTTACAGTTTCGTTTGTGGCCCCACTGTCAATATTCCTAAAAAGCCTTGCACCCCTCATTTTTTGTTTTTTCAAGGTTTATTACGCATAAGTTATCACTCCAACCGAAAGAAGCGTCGAGAAGCTTTACAAAAGAACATTGTCGAGCACACCGGCTCAAGTTTTTTTCGCAAAAGGCGAAAGCCGTGCTGACCATGCCACGCAGGAGTTAAATGAAAAAATAAATCAAGAGACAACTTCGGTACAACACATAATAACCCCATGAACCGCCGAGATGACTGTGGTCGTGTCGCCCCTTCGCCGCTCTAGCCAGGTGCGTCATCTGTACTTCCCGCGGTCCCCTATGACAGGATAGGCTCTCGCGGGGTACAACTTGCCTTCCCCAAAGGGTTGTTACCACCCTTAGG